GTTGTTTGGCGGGTCCGGGCTGGGGATTCGAACCCGCCACCTTAGGTGTACGTGGCTGGCGCCTTAGCCGGTTGAGCTATAGGCGCCGAGCCCACTGCCTTTTTCTGAGAGGACTATCCTGGCCTGTCCCACTAATGCAGGCTCATCCCTATTTGGCTCTGGCCAGTGTAATATAAGCAGAAATGACATGCGCCATTCCCAAGCAAAAGCGCCGAGTGTGAGTGTACAGTGTCCCTTTCTCCCTTCATGCTTGTATGTTCCAGATAAAAGTTCTTTCGTCAGTCTGGGTCCCAGAGTGAAGATGGTGTGGGACAGAATTGTAGCTAATCCACAGTGGGCATCAACATGAGTGAAAAATAAGGCTTAATCTAGTTTATCCTGACCCCAGAGAAAAAGGCATGAGGAAATGATGGCGTTCCAAAACCCTCATCACCTTGTGCTTAGTCATGGTGCTAAAGTGGTTGTTTCGGAAAAAGACGCTAAGTTCCCCCTCCTTGGCAGTGGCTGTCAGCTCACACAGTCCGTGGTAAGTCAACTGGGCTGCAGTGGTCTCCAGGAACTGCTCTGCAATCAGACCTGCCAAAAGGGCACACGACAGAGGGAGCTTGGCTTAAATTCAAATAGGAATGTTCATCCTGAGAGCCCCATCAAAAGCCCTGGAGGTCAGTTCCACCTTTTAAAATCCCTTGAAGCCTGGCTGTATTCATTCATTTAACAAATAACCATAGGCAGGTACGGTGACTCATGCCTATAATCCCAGCACTCTAGGAGGCCGAGGCGGGTGTATTGCTTGAGCTCATGAGTTCAAGACCAGCCTGAGCAAGAGCAAGAACCCATCTCTAGAAAATAGCCATGTGTTGTAGCAGGCGCCTGTAGTCCCAGCTACTTAGGAGGCTGAGACAAGAGGATTGCTTGAGCCCAAGAGTTTGAAGTTGCTGTGAGGTATGATGCCATGGCACTTTACCAAGAGTGACAAAGGGAAACTCTGTCTCAAAAACAAAAAAAATCCAAAAAAACAAATACCCTTAAGCAGCTACCCTGAGCCAGGCACACACTAGGCACTGGGGACACATTAGTGAACGACAAACTCCCCCACCCCTCTTGTGGAGCTTACATTCAGTGAGAGATGACAGACAATGGACAATAACCCTAAGTGGCCATCATTCCCACCACCTGATAGGCATGGGAGGGGAGGGGATGTCACCTTCTGTCACGAGGTTGGTATCACTGGAGTGTTTGCAGGTGATGATCTTCTCTACCAGCTGGTTGTAACTGAGTCTCCCAACTGCACACACAGCCTCAGGACTCTACAGGGAAAGCAGGGTGCAGTAGTACAGATTGAGGGTTTTTTTTGAGACAGTCTCACTATGTTGCTCTCAGTAGAGTGCCATGGTTGCTCAGAGCAACCTCCAACTCTTGGGCTTATGCGATTCGCTTGCCTCAGCCTCCCAGGGAGTGGGACTATAGGCTCTCGCCATGCCAGGCTATTTTTTGTTGCAGTTGTCGTTGTTGTTTACCTGGTCTGGGCTGAGTTGGAACCCGCCACCCTCGCTATATGTGGCTGGCATTGTAACCACTGCACTTCAGGTGCCAAGCTGATTGAGGGGTTTTTAAAGGAAGGAAATAAACCATGCCCACAAGGATCACAACCCCATGAGGAAATTTTTCTGACCTTTATTTATTTATTTATTTTATTTATTTCAGCGACAGAGTCTTACTTTGTTGCCCTCGGTAGAGTGCTGTGGTGACATAGCTCACAGCAATCTCCAGCTCTTGGGCTTACACGATTCTCTTGCCTCAGCCTCCCAAGTAGCTGGGACTATAGGCGCCCACCACAACACCCAGCTATTTTTTTTGTTGTTGCAGTTTGTCTAGGCTGGGTTTGAACCCACCACCCTTGGTATATGGGGCCAGCACCCTACTCACTGAGCTATGGGCGCTGCCCTGAACTTTTTCTTTTTTTTAGAAACAGAGTCTCACTTTATCGCCCTTGGTATAGTGCCATGACATCACAGCTCACGGCAACCTCCAGCTCTTGGACTTAGGAAATTCTCTTGCCTCAGCCTCCAGAGTAGCTGGGACTACAGGCACTCGCCCCAACACCTGGCTATTTTTTGTTGCCATTTGGCCGAGGCCAGGTTTGAACCTGCCACCCTCAGTATACAGGGCCGGTGCCCTACTCAGTGAGCCACAGATACCACCCAGGAAATTTTTCTGAACTTTTGATGTCTAAAGAATTGATCCTATTTGCATGTGGTTTGCTTGTATTTGAATGTCACCCCCCACTAAAAAAAAAAGAAAAAAGGTTAAAATTCAAAGAATTCTATACTGGGTCCAGTCTCTAATCCTTATTTCCTTCCCAAGGCAATCTAACCCCTACCTCCCAACGTCTACTCCATGAACATTTGCCTAAGCATCTCACTGGGCCCCTCCCACTCTCACCTGTGGGTCAACAAGCCAGCCGTGGTACAGAGGTATGCCCAGCAGGTCAAAGACGCTGCACTCAGGCGTGTACTCAAAATCAGAGACACCCGTGAACCGCACGTTGACGTCTAGACCAGTGGCCAATTTAGGCAGTACTGTCATTGCATCATCCACATTCTGAAGACAGAAAAAAAAAATGATAGAAATTATGGCCTTCTCTCCCACCAC